TGAATACTCAATTGGGCGACTCTGGTTTCCATACATTGTTAGTCATTAGGTGCAGTGTATTTCTTCGAATGTGTTTATTGAGTACACATAGTATACCTACAATTAGATGATATGTAGTATGATGTTGCAGTAAAACTGCGTCTGCCTACACTCGACTGTTACTACTTACGCGATCCCCTACGAAGGAGGAAAAAAAGAAATTCGAGTCAACTCATTACGGGAAAATCCGTGTTTGTTCCACATTTCTTAATTTTCATCCTTGCAATCATGGAGGGCAACAGCAGGCGGGAAGCTACTCTGGAAAAAAAAGCTACGCCTTCAAATTGCAGCGACTCGTAAGTATACAGTCGGCAATCGAGAAATGCCGTTAAGAGCTGCTCTTGCTAGCGCTCTAACGGTTTACCTCGACTAACGTTATTCGCAAATATAAGCGAGGCGGGACGCGAGAAAGGCGGGGAGTAAGTATAGCTGCAGTTCACGTTCATGACCAGCTCTGCTACGTGTGTGCTGCGCGCGCATATATATACATTCAATATTTAGTTTAAGCAATAGTTTTTAATACTCACCTTTTTTTTTTTTTTTTTTCATTCAACAGTTAGATTAACTTTCACAAAATTTTCAGCGAAGAAATATATAATAAATGTATTAACTTTTCCTGGACTCCCCAGGCTTTATCGGTTGAGTCTAACGACTTACTGTGAAAGTAATAAATGTAAAATAATGATAATTATAACAAAAATGTTTTATCTCGGTTTAATCTAGAAAAAACTGATTTCGACTGCAGCGAATCAACGTTGGCTTGCTCGTGCAGCAACTTGCAACGCGCTTACGAGAAAAATATTGATTAGGAAAGGGGTCGTGGCACAGGGGGGAGAATAGTAGGTGTGTTGTATCCGCTGCGTGGCTCATTCGACAGATGGCCGAAACGTTGTTTTTTTTTTTTTTTTTTTTGCAATTGTTGCAGGTGGACGGAAAAGACAAGGATCGCTATATATAAGCGGGAAGTTGCAGCTCGACGACTGGGTAGTCCGATGCTTCTTGGGAAACAATTTATATTGCTACAATAACCCATATGTGACGTTACGTGTCTACATAAACTGACATTTCGATGAAGATGATTTTTTGTTTACCGTTGGAATGGTTGCAACTATCTTTTTTTATGCTAATTTTTGTTTTTTAAACCAATAAATAATTGCTCACTCTTATGTAGTACCCATACAACCCTTGTGTAATTACTTGTTTTTCTCTTTTTTGTTAAGAGCAACAATTTTACAGTTTTATATGTATACAATTGTGTAAAAGATAAAATAAAATAATTTATTGTAGAAAAACTTTACCGTGCTCGTCGATATATATAGCAACATTAGTTCTCCAAGAGGATGAGGGTTCGATTCCCGATTGAAACAATCAAAATTTTTTTTTCATTGTTTTTACAGAAAAAAAATACCTTCTATGCGTTGTGTTTACATTAGGTTGGTACCATAATTTTTTGGCAATTAAAAAAAAAACTTTTCTGAGTTTTTTTTCTTTTTGCGGGTAAAAGCTTGGATGAACCTAATAGAGTGGTACCTTCTAATATACCTAGACTTAAAAATCAAAGGACAATTCGAAAGTATTTTTAAAGTACAATAATAAAAAGAAAAGGTAAGAGACACATCGACATAGAATAATGGATAGAGCGCGCGGTGGCTCGGTCGGCTAGGTCGTGGATTGGCACGCGGGGGAAACCGTGGTTCGCGATTCCCGGCCAGTGCGACTTTCGGGCAAGTACCTCTGTGAGTCTCACATGTGCTTTATCACCACGCAATGCTCCTCGAGGAGGGTGTTTAGGCGACCTTCTCGTAGCAAAATTGACTAATCCCCCTACCCCACCTCCCAGTAATGGGGGGGCCTCCCATCCCTTTCCTTGTCCCTTTCCCAAGTGCTAAGTGCCCATAGTAGTGCCCTTATTAAAGGAGACGGACATAGAGCACTATAATATATATAAAGCAAAGTTGCTAAAACCGTTGCAATCGCTAACTGCGAAAACTACTAAACCGGTTTTGCTGAAATTTTGCATACCAATTCTTGACTCTTCCTATATGGTNGTGACGTGGTCACCACCTTCATGTAGGCAGACTCATAATACATTTTAGTATTTCTTAAGTGAGACAGAGTTATTGATCCGGTGTTTCTGGTAAGCTATAATAAAATAAACTCTAAATGAATGAAAAAAAAAAATCAAAATAAAAATTAAAAATCAAACACATAACACCTTGAAGCCAACTATTCGAGTATGTTTTTCAACACGATGCCCATCGAGACGCTTACCGAATAGAGCAGGAATCTGTAATTCTGTACTCAGGTATTAGACATGTACGCGCACTCCACCGCGTAACTGTCCTCCCCCTGCACTCTATACCTATATCCAACCCGCGAATCAAGCGCCATCGTTCGCGTCTCTTGTTCGTACATGCGATAGCTGGATCGTTGCATACCTACAGAAGGAGAGAAGCTCTGAATTCTAGCGAATCGCGAACCGCGAGATGTCCAAGGCGCGCGTTTGGCTTTTCCGCAAGTGCACGGAATTCAGCTTAGTTAGTATATAAGCCCGAACAGTATCTACTCTCCGTAAGGTAGTCCGATGCTTCTCAGTAAAAGTTTACTCAAGTATCGTTTCTCAAGGAGGTTCTCGATTATCGCCAAATATCGCCTATCGCCTATCGCCCAAAAAGTGGACTGGCGCGTGCCGTGCCGCTAAAGTATCAATCACTGCAGAAGCGACTTTGACTATCTTTTTTTTTTTTTTTTTATTTTTTTTTTGCAAATACTTCCTCTTCTCACCCACCACTCCGATGCACACGATACTTTATGGGTGGAAAATGTATTAAACAAGGTAGAAAAGTTTTTTTATTTTTTTAAAAAGTTTCTTGCACCAAAAATCATTATTTCCATCATAAATTTATTTACGTGACTCTGTACCAAGTGTACAATATATTATAATCTTGCACCGTCTAGTAAACCTACGAATATTTACATTTCGTTTTTTTCCAACATATTGTTTACTTTTTCTCCATTTCATCGATTCATTTGTTTCAATTACTTGCATCGTCTCTCATATCGAACTACTCGTAAATTTTTCATCAAAATTTTCTTCATCGGGTAAAAACTTATGACACTAAAATATGAGCAGTTTGAGCTTATAAATTTAATCATTGGGCCTGTCGACGTGAGCACATAGAGATTAACAAATTCGTGTAATTTGACCCTGAATTACTGGTACATGGGTACGCACGATAACGAGCATCGCACCGGGTCAAATGTTGATTGTTCGAAGTTGGCTTGTATATTCACGATGGCATTGGCGACAATCGAACGGATAGAAATCACGTAATGAGCCGTGTAAAAAAACCAAACCACGAAGTTTAAATTGTCATTGAGGTGAAAAAAAAACAACTGTTTATTATACCACAGGCATCTGTATAGAGCAGACATGTTTTTTTTTTTTTTTTTTCAATTTTGGATTTGATTTCATGTTCACGAAATATAGCTCACACGTCAAGAGCATATCAGCGTTTATTTATCGATCCATAGCTGAAAATAGAAGAATTTTCCCAATATCCGAACTACCACTATCGTCAAGAGACACCCGAACCGTCATATATTTTAAACTTGATTTTTTTTTCCTACAAAAGCCATAAATTTTTGCCATCCAATCGAAGCGATACTGTTTTATTGATTAAAAAAAAAAAAAAAAAAAAACACCAAAGAAAATCCCAAAGCAACCAAATGTCTCGCAAAATAAAACATAAATTCTGTCCAAGTCCTTTCTAAGAAAAAAAGGTGATTGAAATGGCATTGAAAAAAAAGGCCCAAGCGCAGCCGTAATCGTAGCTATTAAGAAGCACATACTCGCCATCCCGTTTGCACTTGGATTAGACACTCAAAGTGAGACGTGGCTCGCGCGTCCTACTGACCGCTTCTCAGATTACGTTACATATGTGATTGCCCGTTTGCAAGAACGGGGTACAAAAATGACCAATGGCCCGCTCGACTTTTCGCGCTTTTTTTCCTGTCAAACGAAAAAAGCCGGCCACTGGCTTTTCGTACTTGTTTGGCTCGAGAGCCTGGCTTCGGACGAGAAAGGAGGACACAAGAGTTTTCCTCGATCGACGTTTCCACACAAACAGATGCTCGAGTGTACAAGCAACGAAACGAAAGGTGCGAAACGAGGAAAATCGCATCGGGGCCAAAATGGCCCCTCTCTCTTTCCGAGGTTGAACGACCCGCAGACACGCGAAGTATCAAAAGGATTTCGTCGACGGGGTAGTGTTGAAAAACCAGGTTGGCATAATAACATGGTTCATGATGACGGATCGATGGTTCTCTCGCGAGTGACGGTGCAGAGGTATCCAGTGATAATTTACGGCTCGCGTTCAAAAATGAGATTGCCAAAAAAAAAAAAAAAAAGCGCATGATTGAGTCAAAACGATTTCTCAAACGCACGTACAATTTTATTTTCTCACCAGTGAAAGTCTTTATAAACGTAGAACAAAAATACATGAATGGTCAAAGTTCAATCGTACGGGAAAGAGTCTACGAGAATGCGGCTCTATGCACATTTGTAACGAGTTCTATGCGTACCGTCAATGTCCATCGTTCCAGATATTACGTGTAACGAGTCTTACGAATCAAGAAAACATATTACATCGCCATAAGCGGATCCACGAATCGTTACAGTAAGTACTCGGAAGTTCGGCTGTCGATACATTAGCCTTGCGATACTTGACTTATTCTACTTGTGTGCGCGTAAGTGTATTCCTTAAACTGTCTATACTAATCAATTTCACTTGATCAATAGATGCCGCATCGTAAGCTCTTCCTCGTACCGAAACAATCGAGGATCTTTTTTTTTTTGTTGTTTTTGCTTATTTTTCTCAATTAAACAAAAAGTCCCCTTGCTCGATTACTCGTTTCATCCAGCACGACTTATGGCACAAAAAACACGAGGACAGTAACAATCACGTCTCGATCGAGCGTTTTTTTCTGACGTGGTCGATGGCCAAGGTCTTGTGGCAGGCTTGGGTTGGCGTGTCGCACGTCGGTGGTTCCCTGCTGGTGCACCTGTTGCTGCATTTCGTCACGTCGAGCTCACTGGAGTTGCTGCTGCTCAGCGTCTGGTCCAGGCAGGCTGCCTCCCTCTTCACCATATTGAGCAACAGCTGCGAGCTTTCGAGGATCTGTAAAAATTTTATTGCGACGGTTTTTTTTTTTTTTTTTTTTTTTTTTAAAGGGTTTAAAGTACGCAGGTGACGTGGTCACCACCTTCATGTAGGCAGACTCGGTTTCCTGGATCGTGCGCTCGTAGTCGACTCGTGCGGCCGATTTTTTGCCGAGGCTCTCGTTGAGTTGGCTGATTTTGCTGCTCATGCGCTCGACCTCGTGCTGCAACCGGCTCTTCTCGGACTCTTCGGCCTCGATCTGGGCTTCGAGGCCGGATTTCGTGGTCTTCAGCTCTTCGATACCTTTTGTTGACCAAATTTTTTTTTTTTTTTAATAGAGAGGATCGAGTCTTTGCACAAATTGTGAAAATATTATTTAATAAAAGGAAGTGAACGTTAGTTCTCCTTGTTTTGGGAAACGAAAATTTTTCTTTACGCGAGATTTTGTTATCGGCGTCATTGCGAGGAAATCAACGAAAAATCATACATACATTGAATTAATTCCTGGTTGAAGGCTTGCATCGTATCCTCGCAACGAATGACCAACTTTTACTAGAGCAGAAATTATTTTTTGATTTTTTTGCAATCCCCGAGATAACGGGACATCTTTCACTTCAAATTTTGAGGTTCTGAGACTGGTAATCCCTGAACTTGGTCGCGTGGTATTTTTTTGTTTTGTTATTTGTTTTGTTTAACGAAAAGAAGGGAAAAGAATACCAAATAAATTCGAATAACAAGTTTTTTTTTTTAAATGTATCATTTTATCTGATGAAGTATTTTTAGTGTATTTTTAGGTATAAGATACCATTGTAATACATTTCAGTACGAAAAATTTGCATGTAGTGGCTTCAAGAAGTCTTGAGTAGTTATAACTTTGAAATTAGACTCATTGGAGACCGCACTCTCCTGTAGAAGTTGTGCTCAACTAGGACGCTTTCTCAAGCTTCACCAGGAGCTCATGTATGTGTCTTCAATGGACTGATAAATTTTCAAATCATGGTTCATTCTGCAAATTTAATAAATTTCCAATTAAAAAATTAATTTTGCATTTTAGTTGTTATTAAAGGGATTATTAAAATTACTCTTTAAAAGCCTCGGCGATTTCGGTAGTTCTTGCAGGTTTGCAAACGATAGTGGTTTTACATTTGCTTGGATCAAACAGTGGCTTCACGTAGGTGGGAAGCACGCGCTCCAAATCCTTGATTTTCACTGCTGATATTTTCTTGACAAGCCTGGCTGTATAATCGATCGGCACCTTTTTGAAGTGGCTCGCTATAGCTTTGGCCACCATGTCCCCTACACTCTTTTCTTCTTGGACGATTTGGTAAATCAAAGAAGACTTGGCTGATTCGAACAAAAGTTGATCCCAGCTGTTTGTTGAGAGCATGTTTTCCTGTAATTTAAAATATTGTCATTAAACATGTCAAATACAATTTCCCTCCAATAAAACTTACAATAATGGCTTTAGTTTCTTTATAACTATCCACAGGATTGGTTGCTCTGTAAAATTGCAAGTACAAAAGACCTTCGTTCGGTCTTGGAAAGATTGTATAACCGTATGCAAGACCCAGTCCCCTTACTTTTACCCACATTGGTCCCTAAAATTGAAGAAAATAATTTTACAGTTACCTAGTGTGTTCGTTGACTCAAAAAATGGAAAATAAAGTCGTTAAGACAATCGTTACCTCGAGTTGAATGAAATATTGCAAGCACACTAAAAGAGGTGCTAAATCGGAATGCTCAAAATCATTTATACAAGGACAACATTGCAAAAAGAATGCCGACTCGGTGCTACCCATGCCTGCCACGCATCCATCAATCTCGATTTCTGACAGAGGTTTTATGAGTTTGTAGTCCGGTACTATGTTCAAACTGAAAGTATGAGAAAGTTGACGATAAAAAGAAAATTTGAAAGCAAAAAATGAAAGCATCTAAAAGCAATTACTTGTGATTTTCAAAACTATCAGGGCCCACAATTTCGGTCCAAGGCTTGTAAACGTCGGGAACTTGAGCTGCCAATTTATCGGCATTGACGGCAACCATTAAAGTAATATTTTTCGGTGACGTTAAGATACTTCGGACCAACTCAAGCTCATCTAAAACCTCTTTTCCCCCGCTAGGAGAATTTAATTCCTTTACCATTTTTGTGAGAAACTGATGCTGGCGCAGCATATTGACGTTGAAATTATTGCTTTCTAAAAGTAAATTAAAGATTTACAGTTCCAACTTTTTCTCTTTCATTAAATCTTTGTAGTCATAACTGCTAATCAGGACTAATAGTTTAGCCACTTTTTTGTTTTCAACTACCTTTTCTATACAATAGACTCGTCATGAGATCGTCAATTACTTTCTTTTCTTTACGTTTCATTTGGGCTACGTCGTTAATATTCTTGGTCGCTATGATTTTCAGTCTTTCTGCAACAAGTTGCGACTGATACAAAAGTTCTTTCATCCACTGAATGCCTTTGGAATATTTGGCGAGTTCAAGCTACAGAAATCATTCAAAAATTTAACATAATGTATAGTTAAAATAAAATCTTTTATCAATTCGATTTCAATAAAGTACCTGAAGGATTAACATTGCATTGTGTCCATAAGCACCAACAGAAAATCTCGATCTGCAATCAAGACCCATTCTTGTGCCAACTGCAATAGTATCCATTTCCAATTCAGAAACAACTGCTTCATAAGGAATAAGTTTTCCATCCCTCAGAATAGGACACTCCAAAATAGCTTCTAATAGTATAGGCAGGTATGGTCTCTTTTCTACAGGAATTTCAGATGTATCCATTACCATAAACATCTGAAAATAATATAATTACCTCTGTACTTTAAAAGTAAGTATAGCAATAATGACATTTCTATATGAAAAAAGCTTACATATACAAAATTGGTATTAACGTGATCTAAATAAGTGTAAAAAGGCAATTTGTTACAGTCAAATCGTGGGTACTGATCTTGAGATCCAGTTTCAAAGCTTTTTATGGGGTGGGAATTGAAAGAATCGGTGCTTGGTATTGGTACTTTTGTCAAAATATCATCAGATATTGGCGTCTGTAAATAACAGAGCAGTAGTTAGTACTCACTATTTAATGAACTTCAATTGAAAATAAAATATATTCAAATACTTCATTTTCATTTATGGCTTTTTCAAGTTCTTCTCCTTTCTTTTTTAAACCTTCTGGTCCCAATCGTTCAATTTGAGCTTCTATTCGCTTTTTTTCGGATTCTTCTAATTCTTTTTGTTTATCTACACTCGGATGGCCTTTTATAACTGCACAGGGAGTGTCAATGAAATATCTTTTTAGCAAGTCCATCCAGTAATCGGCTGATTTTGATTGAAGTTTTTTGAGGCTTTCAATTTCATTCAGTCTACCTTCAAGCTGAAAAAACATTACGATTCGTCAGAGATTTTTCCATAAATTTTTGAGAAAAGTTATTTTGAAAACTTTACGTCTTCTTTGCCTTTTCCAAACAGAAAATCTCCAATAATTGCAAAAGCCATAAAATCATGAGGGTTTCTTTCCAAGTTACTCATAGTTTCAAGAATGTGTCTGTGAATGACGGTATTCATGCGCTGCATGTCGATGGTAAATTTTTTTAAAACATCTACCAAACGGTCTTTAACCTGAGAAATCTTAGCCTTTGGGACGTTACAAAATTGTAAATAAAACGTTGTTATGGAATTTTCTATCGGACAGAATGTAACGTTGCTACAGTATGGATCCTCAATTTCAACAAATTCTTTCTGCAAAGGACTAGCTGATGTGTCTGTCATATACTTCATTAATAAAGTACAACCAATCATGTCAAATCGATTGGTCACAGCAGATGGACCTCGCCACGCAATATTTACTATTCCATTGTCTTCTTCATGGACTCCATAATAAACATCTTTTTCTACGCTTTTATCAAAAGGTGGTACTTCACTCTGCCATGGTCTAATAAAAGGACCTCTATCACCCTAGAAATAATATATATACATTGTGAAATTATCTGCTTGAAAAAAAAAAAACGCGTTCAAGATTTTGAATTTTAAATTGACCAAATCCATGTATTAAAACGTTACCTTTACAATAATTTTGTCCTCTACTGACTGTAAGGCTTTGAACACGTCCGCATGCTTTACTTGACCAGTGATAATAACACATAAATTTTCTGGCCTGTAAAAGTCCTTGTGGTACTTTCTGCACTTGTCATTGTTTGTGCTCTCTCTTAAATTCTTTATACTACCTGTCAAGTGTTGGAGAACATTTTAAAAGTACATTGTAACGCTCAATAGAGAAACTCGAACTTTTGTTACCTCCAGTATAAGATTTGTAGCCACACTGGCCAGGATATATGGCTCTTTTCATTTCAAGATCTACCATGCATTCTCCATTGTTCTCTAATGCTTGCATTTCGCAATACACGACTCCAGCATCTTCCCCTACTTCACTGATGTGGTGAACTTCAGTGGTAAATGCAGAATCCTAACATAAGGACAATTTATGGTTTTTGGAACCAATAATCATGATGACTTTATTATTGAAAGTGAATGTATAGAGGCAGCCAAAATAATGTACTTTGCAGGAGGCATGGTATAGCCATTAGTTTTCATGTCAGTAGGTACTGTCTAGACTTATTTTTCATGTACTGGTTCTATGGTTTTTGGATACCCTTATGCATCACTGCTACTAAGTATCGATGTATAATTAAAAAACCATACCTTGAGAGTAGGATAAAGAACGTGATCAATGTAAACTGGAAGGAGAGTGAGGAAGCCTTCGCTACCAATGGTCTCCATTGTATAAAAAGTATTGTCAGTGTCAGTCGCAGCATTTGTTCCCGAAGCCAGGCATCTGTTAGCCATCAAGTCCAAAATGCCCTTGTACGGATAGTTCTCGCTGCCCATAAATATAAGATGCTCCAGAGTATGAGGCAAGCCATCGTCGTCGTGAGCTTCGGTTGCTTTTTCACGGAAAGGAAAAAGAATTCTAATGTTTTTAAAAAAACAAGTGAGGCCGAAAGCCGGAACTGAAGGAGGTTATGGACGTTTACCTAGGGCTAGGTAGCCACCAACGACAGGGCCATCGACCTCAGCGATGAATACAGTGAGGCCGGTCTTGGTGGAGCGATACTTGTGCACCGGTATTTGATCGTTGGACTTGACCGTGCAGATGAGCTCGAAGTTACCCATATTGCACGTCGGCGAGTTGTCAACGGGCGCCATTTACACTGCAAGTTATATTTAATATTTAAATGAAGAACCAATAACGAGGCTTTTATTTTACACGTAAGCCAGCTTTACTGACAAATTTTCTCAATGCAACTCACTGAACTTTCCCTGGTGAAGTAACTTTTTTACTCTTCTTTGATCAACTTACAGACAAGACAGTTTTACTTTTACAGTAGTATACCTTTATCTTCTCACTCTCACTCTCACCTCTGACTGTGTAGTGTGTAGTATGTATATAGGTGTAGCATATACAGCTATGGAATTTTGGGATTTTAAAACTCCATAAGAGCCCACTTTAAAAGTTTCAAATGTTTACCACAACGTTTAGTAACAGCAAATGGATGGCGCTAAAGTTCGAGAATCTATTCTGGCAGCTTTTGAAATTGGCCACCTCATGGATTTAATATTCAGCGCTTCAGTCTTCACCCCACAACTTTTAACTTTAAAACTTTATACATTTTAAAAGTTTAAAAATAAACAGCATGCAGATAATGCGTGTACGTCAGTCAAAAAGTTTTATCGTATACAAAAATTCTTAGATGAAAAATTTAGCTTTATGCGTATAAATTGAAAACTTTTATTTTAGTACAGCTGTTTTTTCTTATTAGAAAAAGATAAACATTATCTTACATTTGAATGCTTAGTTATAGATTAAAAAAATATTACAAAAGTAATTTGAATAAGGAAAGGTAATTAACATTGTAAGTAAGAAAAAAAAATGAACGAGTTCATGATGTGAACTACGTACCTACATATGCACTACGTAAGCTTTTTTTAAAATAATTATTCTATCATATTATAAAACAAATACGTGCGACTTATCATTTTTTCATTTATTTGTAGTCAATGAAATCCATACAACATTAATTCCATAACAATTTATGATTTGGCATAAACTGATTGATTTAAAATAAATTATAAAACGAGATCACGTGATTAGTTATATCGACAGTATTTAAGAATAAATTAATATTCATTTCAACAAAACTTAAGATAATTTATAATGAATTATGAATGCAATTTACAATAATGGAATTTGTTCTATGAAATAATAGATCACATGTGATTGACATTAATGTAACATAATGTTACATAAAATTTTATTCATAGGATACAAATAAAAAAAAATTTTGTTGTAACATCACTAGATAATAAAGACACGTCGGTAGCTGAGCTATATTATTTTAAACAATAATATTTTCGTAATTTCTTGGGTAACTCATCACTTTTTCATTGCAATTTACAGAAAAATTACAAAATAGAATGTATAGTATCGTAACTTGATTGTTCTGCATTGAACGAGTAACCCTTGAATAAATTCACACATAAAATAAAAAATTAACGTGGCCTAAATACGTTTTTCAAAATTCAAATAAAATTGAAATAAGTATAAAAAAAACGTACACCATCAATTAGAAAAGCAAACAGCTAACCAAACGGTGTAACCGTTAGCAAATTTTACAGTGAATCGACTAATAAACTTCAATAGGCAGTACGAACGAAATCGGCGACAAATCGAAAAATAATAAAAGAGCTAAGCCATATAGGTACGATAACAAAAATAGTAATGGGAAGCAGGGGGACGATGATAACGAGAATCAGGGATATCGTGACGATTAATCATTTGACGGCCTTGATCCAATCGATTTCGAGGGACGAAACTCCAGGCTGATTATCCGGCAGATACGGTCCATTGTCCACTTTAATGCCCATACTCGTAATCGCCGATAAATCCAAGGGGTGGACATCCGCAGCCAGAGGCAAGCCCCGGTGGTAAGGCTTGAAATCCCCCAGTGGCAGTTTTACCGTAGAAAATTCGTTTTCGCTCACCTGCAAGTATCAGTTTGTCACGGTAACCATTATTTATGTGGTACCCCCACAAGTCCACTTGCGTCAAAACGAATCGCGAATGCGATCGGTTGCGTAACATATACATCATAAAGGCATTTTTATAGATTATAGTTTCGGATTGGCAACTTTGTAGTTCCGTTATTGGTGTACTGGAAGAAAAAACCCGTGTAAGTACTGGACAAGGTGCACATATATATGTACCGTGAAAATCTGGCCGTAGATCACGGAATCGCGACCGAGGCCTTTGTGCCTCAGCAGCATCTTGTACTTGAAATTGGCCCCCTGTCCCCGGCACTTGATCGCGATGTATTGGTGCTCCCTGAGATCGAAGCTCGTGTCCGCGCGTATACCCGCGAAGCCGGTGCCATTGATCCTCGGTGCGAAGAGACTGAAGAAAACGGCGCGCTGGAAGAGCTGGGACTTTTGGAGCACGAGCGCGGCCTTGGACGCGCCGCTCGGCTTGACGGTGTCCGAGTGCTCGGTCCAGCCGCTCAGCTCGTCGAGCCGCGTGAAATCGAACAGTGTTTGCACACTCCTACCCCCGTCGTCGATGCAAAAGAGGATTTACAATGAAAATGAGAGAACAAAAAACTTTCGAAAAAAAGTCATTTTAGAGACCAAAATGTAAAAAAATAAAAAATAAAAAAAAATCGTGGATGGACTCACCCCGATGCCGTGCCGACCATGTCATTCCGCGAGCTAAACTAAGGCACTGGGAAAGAAGAGAAAGTAAAAAAAAAATAAAACGTGATCGCGGTCGTGAAGGGCTGGAAATAATATACGGAACAGTGTGCCATGTCATCTTGGGGAGATCGATGACGAGAAGTGCACACGTAAAGGTACACCTACTTATCGTCGTACTGTTCAGTTATTTCTCGCCCACCCTCCCTTTACCTCGAAAACAAAAATTTATGCGCTTCGAGCACAAATCATCGATCCCCCGACACACCGGTTCTTCCAAATTCAAGTCACCTCCTCGCGTGTCCTTTAGTCGTTGAAAATGAAAGCTCAACGATTTATTAGTCGGGTACCCCTACATCTATGCGTATACATATACCATACGTCTTACAGGTATACATGTCGTACGTCAAAGGATTATCGGTGTGGCATTTAAAATGTGTTGATTATTTATTTAACATTGCCTTGGCGATGTTTACCAAGGTGCAAGTGTACCTATGGATAAAATAATAATAAACTAAATCTTTGTACATATCGAAAATTCTTTTTTTTCTACCCCCTTCCCGTTTATTTCACGTGGTACGATGCAAGAGAGACGCGCCTCAGCCGCAAGTTTGATCAATTCCCTATTTATTATTCGAGAATGTAGTGTGACACACGTTTTATATACGTGCGACACCGACAGGGATGGAGGAAAACAGAGTTAAAAAAAGAAGCCCGTTTGTATATCTTCGGCGCTTCGTGCATTTTATTGTTTTCGAGGAGTATAACAAAGACCTTGGTTTGCAATTACTTAATCCCTGCCAGTATCTCTCGTCCAGGAGGGCTTACTCTGAGGCTCTCGTTGCCTCGATCGTGTCGATCTCCAATGCAGAAACTCCTTGCTGCTTGAAGGGCGAGTAAACGCCCCCGTAAATCTGAAAACCAAACATGGTGACGTGGGCCAGGTCCAGAGGCTGGGCGGTATTGTTCTCCCTGCCCCGGAAGTACGGCTTGAACTCCGTGAGGGGTAGCCTCACGTGGTCGAAGGTCTTGGGCGCGTCGAACAGCTGCTCGTACTCGACGTCGTCGTCAGCCGACCGATGATTGTGCCTCAGGACGATCTTGTAGTGGTAGTTCTGGCCCTGACCCCGGCACTTGATCCTAAACTCCTTGTACCCGCTCAGGTCCCACTCCACGGGTACGCGCACCCCAGCGAAGCCGGCGCCGTTCAGCTGGGGGTTCAGAAGGCTGAAGAAAACGGCGCGCTGGAAGACATGGGTGCTCTGCAGGCTCAGCACGGCCTTGGACTTGCCGACTTCGCGCACCACGTCTGAGATCTCGGTCCAGTTGGCGACGCTCGCGCTCCGGTCTGTGAAGTCAAACAGTGTCGTTGCACTGGCTCTGCAAGTCGATAAAACGTTTCTTTGTCTCCTCCCGAAAATGTTGACACCTACTCGTTCCACCTACACTTTCAACAGTTCCATCCGTATGCTTTTTCAACATTCAGGCGTTTCATTTTAAGTGTATAATATGCTTTCATGCTTGACGATTTGACACTTGAAGCCTCAAATAAGAACAAACGCTTCTGTATTTTAAAAAGTAAACGTATTGGAACATTGAAAGTATATGGTTCATAAGCATATTTAGATTACAAATACATTTATTATGAGATGATGTGTTACCCGTTGGTTGGCTTCATGATTGAACTACTCAACAGCAGTCCAGCGAGCAGATGATAAAAACGCATGTTCAACGCACGTGCAACCCAAAAAGGCTTTCCAACACCAGTCAGGGACTTTGAATGATTGTCTATGAACTGAAGAACCTCTGGTTTCTATATTGTACTCTGAAAAACGTAGATTCCTCTGCCACTTGAGTTTACTCGTACTATTGATATCTCGACTGATAGTTAATGCAGAGAAGAAATAACGGTACTATTTTAATGATTTTTATTTTAAATTCAGAAACCTTTTCCAACCTTTTATCAATACAGATTCATGCGATTCGTTGTACTAAACGATTGAATCTGTCATTAGGATAATGATTTGTATTACAAGAATTAATCAATTCATAAACATTGAAGATAATACATAAATACCGTATGCAAAAATTTGAGAGCTATCAAAAAAAACATCCTGTACTTTCGTTAGATGCCATTGTTAAATTTTATTATAATTTTAATGTAAATGTAAATGTGATGTATTCAGGACAATTCAATTTTTTTCAGTTTTTTCTTTTTTATTTGATAGTTATAAATGATTCTGTTAGAAAAATAATTTTCTTTGTTGTGAAAATTTTAAAATCATTCTATTTGAATACACTAAGAATATAAATTTCTTAAAAATCACCAGTTAGAACTTAAGATACAACATAAATTCCCCGAAAAATAACAATTATTTACACAAGTTTGATCGGATTTCATCAACGGTTCGATCGGATCATTCAACAGTTGTATGATTGGCACTATTAATAAGAATTGTAAAATATTATGGTTATTCTATCTAACATTTTGTTTTTGTTTACCTATTCGAGTGTAAAAACGTAAGCTAGCTTTAAGTAACCTCAAAATTCTACTGGCTTTGTTTTGACACCAGTTTGCAAAATAAATTAAATGACTATACTTATACTGAAGAAGTAGAATATTTATACTTTTACATGCCGATTTTTAGATCAAAGATGAACTGTAAACTTGCCGCAGATAACAAAGAAAATTTAAACTTTTCATTGTCTATCTACAAGATTAGTTGCGGCTGGTTTACAATTAATAAAGCGGCTCTGCTGTAAGATATAGTAATAGTTATTTGGATCAGCGCCATCTAGCGGTCGTGATTTTTTGGCCAAAAGTGGCTCCTAAAATTCTCAATCAGAGCAATCAGGATTAGAGCCATTTAGTCAATTATAAACCAGCCGCAACTTATGGTAAAGCTATAAAATGAAAAATTAACGATACGTGTGTTTTTGGCGGCAAGTTAACAATTTATTTTCTACCAAAAGATTGACCTCCTATGTATTTATACTTTTGAAAATGAATTTTCGAATAAATATAAATTGTTAACTTGCCGCCAAAAACACACGTATCGTTAATTTTTCATTTTATAGCTTTACCTGAAGTTGCGGCTGGTTTATAATTGACTAAATGGCTCTAATCCTGATTGCTCTGATTGAGAATTTTAGGAGCCACTTTTGGCCAAAAAATCACGACCGCTAGATGGCGCTGATCCAAATAACTATTACTATATCTTACAGCAGAGCCGCTTTATTAATTGTAAACCAGCCGCAACTAATCTTGTAGATAGACAATGAAAAGTTTAAATTTTCTTTGTTATCTGCGGCAAGTTTACAGTTCATCTTTGATCTAAAAATCGGCATGTAAAAGTATAAATATTCTACTTCTTCAGTATAAGTATAGTCATTTAATTTATTTTGCAAACTGGTGTCAAAACAAAGCCAGTAGAATTTTGAGGTTACTTAAAGCTAGCTTACGTTTTTACACTCGAATAGGTAAACAAAAACAAAATGTTAGATAGAATAACCATAATATTTTACAAATCTTATTAATAGTGCCAATCATACAACTGTTGAATGAATAAAAGGTGATGGCCGATGCCGCTGCTGCTAAACGAGAAGCTCAAAAGAGACGGATTTTAGACTATTCGAAAAATCGTATGCAAATAATTTTGGGAGCGTGCAGGAATGAATTGAACGTTAATAAAAATTTCAAGATTAAGGATATGAAACCATATACAGTTAATCAAATTTATGACATATTGTTTACAATATGACCTTGTACAAAATTTTATTCAAAACGGATTCAACTATCCGCGTTTATTACTTTGTTTGACAAGAACACAGTCAAGCGCTCGAAAATTAAAATTTTTTGTTTCTTATTCAGTTTACCTATAGAAGCTATTAGAGAATTTTATTCAAAACGGATTTAACTATCTGCGTTTATTACTTTGTTTGACAAGTATACAGTCAAGCGCTCGAAAATTAAATTTTTTTGTTTCTTATTCAGTTTACCTTTAGAAGCTATTAGATTATTTTATAACTTATTTACAAATAAAAATCTAAAAAATTGTGTGCTTTGTTTTTGTTAGATTTCAAGTGATTATTGTGATGATAACGAAGAACAATTGGACTTGAAAAAAAGTATTATGTTGTGCTAAAAAAGTACGATTGTTCATTAAATCCGATCAAACTTGTATAAATAATTGTGGAATTTATGTTGTATCTTAAGATCCAACTGGTGATTTTTAAGAAAATTATACTCCTAGTTTATTCAAATAGAATGATTTTAAAATTTTCACAACAAAGAAAATCATTTTTTAATAGAATCATTTGATTTCTAGAAAGCTTGAATAACGATGAACACATGTATGTAATAAATGCATTTTTTATTTAGTAAGGTCTAATGCTCCATATATTCTTAGGAGACTCTTCGTCTGACTGAAACTCTTTTTTAAGCCTTTTTTCTTGAGTCTGATTAATTCACGTATGTGTTTATCGTTATTCGAGATTTCTGTAACACAATACATATCAGTTAACTGTTTATTTAAACTATAAAAAGTTAAAGGGCTTTGCTTCCATAAATTAATGGTAAAAAGTTCTAAGGTATTGTAAGTTTGTGAATATGGTTGATTGATTTTATAAGCCATGTAAGATAAGGATAATATCTACACTTTTAGAGGTTGATTTTTGGATCAAAGATAAACTGTTAACTTGCCGCAGATAACACAGATAATTTCAACTTTTTATTGTCTATCTACAAGATTAGTTGCGGCTGGTTTATACTTAATTAATAAAGCGGCTCTGCTGTAAGATAGTAATAGTTATTTGGATCAGCGCCATCTAGCGGTCGTGATTTTTTGGCCAAAAGTGGCTCCTAAAATTCTCAATCAGAGCAATTAGGATTAGAGCCATTTAGTCAATTATAAACCAGCCGCAACTTCAGGTAAAGCTATAAAATGAAAAATTAACAATATGTGTGTTTTTGGCGGCAAGTTAACAATTTATTTTCTACCAAAAGATTGACCTCTTATGTATTTATACTTTTGAAAATGAATTTTCGAATAAATATAAATTGTTAACTTGCCGCCAAAAACACACGTATCGTTAATTTTT